ATTTAGCATCATTTAGTGAAGAGCGGGCTTCAGCCACATAGGATTATGCTTTGGAACAAGAGTGTCACAACCCATGACCGTCGTGCCACGTGTGCCCAGAGTGGGGCATGTACTCCAAGCACACTTCCTACGATGCCCCATCAGGACTCGGCAGGAGGGGGTGCCCGGGGAGGAGTGAGGCCAGGTCCGGGTCAGAGGCCAGCACCTGCCCCCGCTGTCCTGCAGCCCAAGCGTCCTCCACACAGCCCCACAGGGGTGGCTCGGAACCCCCGGCAGGTCCGCCGCAGCTCACCGATTTACGAGGGCTATTAATTACGCTTGCTTTCAGTACCACCTCCTCCATTACATAAATGGGCAATCACTTAGCAAGAAAAACTTCAGAGACCACGTGTTATGAGCAAAATGCTCCAAGGCAGATTTCTTTCCCTGGCATAAAAAATTATCAATAAGTAAATTAAATATGAACATTGCAAGCCCTTACTTACTGGAAAGACAGGAAAGATAGAAGAGTCCCTACCTCAGAGAGATACTGTAAATAATGATGCAAAAAAAGGGGGTTAGGAAGCGGTAAAAACTGTACAAATGTCAACCGCTATTTGGGTAAAAACTGTACAAATGTCAACCGCTATAAAGTTCTCTGGGATAAAATAATTTAGGGTATCTATGCATGCTTACTTTGGGGTTTTGGAATTAAAATCTATTTTTTAATATCCACATGGACAATTTTTTTTGTGTGCAGGGTCTCACTACGCAGCTTGGACTCCCAGTGATCCTCCTGAGTTCTGCCTCCCTAGTGATGGGATTACAGGCCTGCGCCACCACGCCTGGACTCCATTGCCTGCTCAGTGTGCCAGGGGTGGGGTTGGCGCATGAACAATCTCTAAGTGACTTCTGATGAATGTACAGCCCTGGGGAGCCCTACTAGCACCGGACTATTTGGTCACTGTCCATATAGAACCTTCATGCGTATTTGTGTGCACTGTCCGATTCCACCCCTAGCCTGAGGCGATGACTCTGCTTTCTGTCCCTGTGGGACTGTCTTTTCCCAGGAGATTCCACAGGAGCAGAATTAGACATTAAGTAGATGGCACCCTGCTTCTGGCCCTTTCACTTAGCATACTTTTCCCGAGGTGCTGGCATCCGCCACTGGTCCATTCCTTCTACTCCATTACTATTACACTGCATGAGGGAGTCAGTTTTGTTTATCTGCCCCCAAATTGACAAATACTTGAATCAATTTAACTTGGAAAGTATGCCCAACATGGCTACGGACGTTGGCGCCCACGTCTTTGCGTGGACCTGTTTTGCTCTTGGGCTGATGACCCCCGGGAATCGCTGGGTCATGTGGTTAGCGATGCTTGATTTTGGAAAAAGCTGCTACATTGTTTTTCACAGTGGCCACGCTATTGTCCATGCCCACCAGCAGCACAGGAGAGTTCCAGAGTCCCCACATCCTTGCCACCTCCTACTATGGTCTTTTTAGCGATAGCTGATCAGATCAACGTTTCTTTAATAATTAATGATGCTGATCTTTTCATGTACTTATCAGCTCCATTTGTTTATATTTTGGGGGTAGGGGCCTAAAACTTCTTGCTCACTTTCAAATTCAGCCAGTTTTCTCCCTGTGCTGCCCTGAG